CCCATTTCTGAAGAAGGGTCTAGGCCCGAAACGTCAGCCTTCCTGCTCCTTGCTGCTTGGCCTGCTGTGTTCATCCAGCTCTACACCTTGTTTGCCCAGTTATGGAGTTGGCAATTGTGGGGTGGAGGTGATTATATCTGCGGACGAAGTAATGGGATAGAAAAACATACAGTGCAAATCAAACTGGAAAAGGATTCCACTAGCTTTTCTGCCTGTTACCAGTGTTTATTCTCCTTTGTAAGCCCATATTCAGTAACATGAGTTTGTGGGACTGACAACTGAATGAAACTGAATGAGTCAGCTCATTTGGAGCACTTAATTCCTCTTCATTATTGCTGATCACTTCCTTTTAAAAGTGACACATTTTAATCTGCTTTGAATGGTTTTAGTTTTATTGTTGCATCCTCATTACCCACTTACAGTGGAATGCTTGAAGTTTTTCGAATAATCTCTCCACTTTGTAAAAAATTGTTTTAACCCTTTGCAAGCTGACGTGTTAAATTTCAGTATCCTGATATCTTTGCAAAACATTCCATGTCAGTCTTCTGCATCTGAATTGATATGGATGTGTTTGATTTTTAGTTTGTAATTTTTTTTTGGATAACTTACAAGACACCACAATGACAGCAGAAACAAACCTGTTTGTGACATTGATCTACTGCCTTCAGTTATCTCTGCTCTATAGTATGTAATTATTTAATAACATTCTCTCCTTTGCAAGAACCCTCAAGTCTGCTTAGATCTGTTAGGACCAATCTTCCTTTTGCTCACAGGTCAGTGTTTGCACTTTTCTCTTTCTGTGAAGTAATTGGCGACTGTTTTGTGCTACATCAATGCAAGTCATTCTTGTCATAGAGTCATTGATTTGCACAGCATGAAAACAGACCCTTCGGTCCAACTAGTCCATACCAATCAGATATCCTAAATTAATCTAGTCCCTTTGGCCTATATCCCTCCAAAACCTTCCTATTCATGTACCCATCCAGAGATGCCCTTTTAAATATTGTAATTGTACCAGCCTCCACCATTTCCTCTGGCAGCTCACTCCATACAAGCATCACCCTCTGTGGAAACGTTGCCCCTTAGGTCCCTTTTAGATCGTTCCCCTCTCACCTTAAACCTATATCCTCTAGTTTTGGACTCTCCTACCCTGGAAAAAAGACCTTGGCTATTCACCCTATTATTGCCCCTCATGATTTTATAAACCTCTATAAGGTGACCCCTCAACCCCCAAACTCATGGGAAAATAGCCCCAGCCTATTCAACCTCCCCCGATAGCTCAAAACCTCCAACAACACCCTTGTAAATCTTTTCTGCACAACATCTTACCTATAGCAGGGTGATCAGAATTGCATGCAGTATTCCAAAAGTGACTTAACCAATGTACTGTACGGTACAGCTGCAACATGATATCCCAACTCCAATATTCAGTGCACTGAGTATCCAAAATGCAGATCGTTTTCTATTTGATCTGTACCATCCTGAATTACTTTGGGTGTTCTGGCTCTTCTTGAAACACCTATTTTGTTGTTGTTCAAGTTCCTGAACCTGCTTGGGTTCAGTACTGACATCCTATACTTGATCATAAATTTACATGAATACATAGACTTGGAATTAATTCAGTACAGCTTTGTTTCCCCAAAAATCTATGTAATTCCACTGAAACTCTGGCAAAATATTACATTTCAATTTGTCAGCTAAATTGAGACAGTTCTTCATTCAAACGTTGTAAAATCTGAAACGAAAACAGAAATTGCTGGGAAAACTCAGCAGGTCTGGCAGTATCTGGAAAGAAAGCAGAATTAATATTTTGAGTCCAGTGACTCTTCTTAATAAAGTCTGACCAATTTTAGTCTAAAAGTAATTTTTAGCAAATTAACTAATAACTAGAGCCTGAACTATCCAAGTTGTACATTAACAGTCTGGACAAAGGAGCTGAGGGCATTGTTGCAAACTTTGTAGAAGACATAAATATCGATGGAGGAGCAGGTAGTGTTGAGGAAGTGGGGAGGCTGCAGATGGACTTGGACAGGCTAGGAGAATGGGCAAAGAAGTGGTAGATGGAATACAATGTGGGAAAGCATGAGGTCATGCACTTTGGCAGGAAAAATAGAGGCAAAGACTGTTTTCTGAATGGGGAAAGGCTTCAGAAATCTGAAGCACAAAGGGACTTGGGTGCCCTAGTTCAGGATTCTCTTAAGGTTAACATGCAGGTTCATTTGACAGTTAGGCAAGTGCAATGTTAAAAGTCATTTCAAGCAGGCTAGAATATAAGAGCAGGGATGTCCTGCTGAGGCTGTATAAGTCTCTGGTCAAATCGCATATTGAGTATTGTGAGCAGTTTTGGGCCCTGTGACAAAGGAAAGATGTGCTGGTCTTGGATGAGGTCCAGAGACAGTTCAGAAGA